CAAACATGAAATTACGATCATTACACTTAACCACACCCTAAGGGTCAAACTTCTCTTTTTTATAATGATTCATTTTTCACTTCTTTGTCACTTGAGCCCAAATGAGTGACCGTGACCTACTTTTTAAGGTCACAGCTGCAAGTGTGAAAACTTTTCTGGGTATACTGTAACGTGTAAACTATAACAGATGCAGCTGATTATATTATGTCAGGACTCATAAAGGAAAAACCCTTAGAAGCCTAAGCACAGCCCATCCAGTGTGACAGGTACCCATTCAGGACAATCAGTGTTCATGTTTCCCAATAAACCACAGAATTAATTTTAAAGATCTTGATAGGATTCAATGGTGTGCGGGACCCATCCAGTCTATATGGGCGATACTGCCCATGTTAGTGTCGCAGTGAAATGTTCAATTCTCCCTAACTAGTGTAGCGCAGTCGGGGTAAAAATGATCAGGTCTTGCAGGTCTTAAAGCTGAACAACAGAGCACAACATATTACACCATTTTCATTTTTATTTAACAAAAACTAATAGTGCTATAGTGCTAGTTCAATGTTTAAGTACTGAATAAGCATCTATACCAGCATCTGTGCACATGACCGCAAGAAGGAAAAGGACGTTCAGTGCACAGGTGGACAGTATGAAGACATTTTGGTCTCCTGGCATCAGCTAAAAGGATCAGGCTTTGGACCATGACAAAAAAAAGCTTGCTGGACAATATTTTGTATTAAACTGTCTATCACAGTTTTTTTAAATTACACATTAAGATTGCTGGAATCAGTTCAAAATTATTCCCATCCATTTTTTCTCCTAACGGAAACGTATTTCTTATTTTAATTATATTTATTTTGAAAACTCTTCTTTTTGTTACGGAGCCCCGCAGGGGACATGGGAGGAAAAAAAATTAAGACGCAAAACGTTTGCGAGATCTCGCCAAAGCTGAATTCCAACAATGGCGGCAACTACTTAGTTGTAATATTACTCTTTCTGGGTCACAAAATACACTTTTAAGATATTTTGAGGCGTGA